CCTCCTCCTCTTGTTGCTTTTACAATCTCCTCCTCAGCCCAGCGGGGGGTCCCAGAGGTTCTCTTTGCGCACTCAGAGCCCCAAAGCCCTGCCGTTTACAGCTGGCGTCCGAACGGCTTTGCCATGGAGCCCGCCCGGCGCTGGCCCGGTCCTTAACGTCTCTCTTGCTGCTACTTCTCCTTCCCTTTGGACTCGGGCTGGCTCAGGGAGGGAGAGGAGAGGAGAGGCCCCTGGCCCCCCGGGGATGGCTCCTGGCACAGCTGGAGGAAGCAGGTTTGCTCCCAGCCATCATCTCACCAGCATCTAATGCCTGGGTGCCGCTGCGCCCCATCCTGTGGGGCAGCGTGGGGGGCTCGGTGGTCCCCAGGGCGAGGGCTGTGGGCTCTGTTGGCCTTTCCGTCTACAATCACTGGTTTCCCCGGGGGCCCTTGCCCGACTGGCTGGAGGCTGTAGCCAAAGCTTGTCCTCTCTTGAGCGATGGCCTGGCTGTGCCGGTGGCCGTGGCTGGCTGGGGCGTGGGGCCAGGACCATCCCCGCCAGCAGCGTAGCTCCCCAGGCCCCGAATGTCTCCTGCGTGGGTGGGCTCCTGGCTGCCCCCTCCCCTCCCGCAGGGCCGAGGGCACTTGCTGTTGAGCAGCGCTGCCCCTCTCCTCACCTCTCCTCCATGGGCTGAGCCCACAGCACTGTTGGGCCCTTCTGGGCTGGAGCTGTACATGTCTGTCTTTTAAAAAAACAAAAACCAGACCACCACAAAACCCACCTAGCCTAAGGGCTGTCGCTCCCTCCCGCGTGCTCCAGCTCTGTGTGGGTCAATGCCCTTGCGCTGCGGAGCCTCCGCTCGGTGCCCCGTGGCCAGCCGGGCTCGCTGTGCCAGGGCTGGCACCTCCCCAAAGGCGAGGGCTGCTCTGGGGGGCAGGTGGGGGGGGGCACGGCGCCAGCACCTCTGCTCCAGCCATGCCCTCCCTGCCTGGGATGCGTAAAGCAATAACCCGCTCTCCGGAGAGTTGGATCTGTCAGGCTCAACCTTGGGTTGTTTTGGGTGGTTGGGGCTTGGGGTTTTTGCTTCCCCCTCCCTTTAGGAAGTCTTAAACCAGCAAACCGGCTGGTGGCACGGGGGGGAGCCTGGCTCTTCCCCTTCCTTGGGGTTCAGCCCTGCTGTTTCTTCTACTTTGTCTGTTTTAAAGCTGCTGTGTCCTCCCCTGCGCTCGGCAGGTGGGGAGGCAAGAGGGGCTGGCTGGGATGGGAACGCAGCGCCCTGCAGGTTACCTGAGGGCTGGCGGATGGACAGACTGACCTACTTGACTGTGAACTGGAACCGTGTGCG